CCACAGAGCTAGTGTTGTCCTTTTTTCAGTCTCTCCTTGAAAATCCTTTGTCATCATTCCTACAAAAAATATTCAATAACAATCTACTAGCATGCTGATACCATTGCTTGGATGTTTTGGGGTTTTTTTTTGCCCTGTATCAATCGCTATTTGGATTGAAAGGTGTTTACATCAAGCAGACTACGCTTGGTCTGTACTTCAAGCACCGAGGTGTCCTGTTCCATGACCCAGACTTCTGAGTGCAAATATTGAATAGTATCAGGGTTTTTTGCAGTGCTTGATGAGACTGGCTGTTCCTTGCCCGGCAATCTCTTTGAGTCTGTCTTGCATTTTTGTTTTCTGTTTGACACCAAGAAGAAGCTGTAGCAAGTTCAGCCTGCAGCTGCGTTTTTGCTGCCTGGTGTGATGAATGAGTCCTGTTGAGCCCATCTCCAGGGGAATCCACTGCCTCCTTATTTGCTGCTGGCTACAATTCAAGCGGCTGACTGCTAGCTATATCACTTCTATGAGCTGTGACTAGAATGATACTGCCCTTCCCTATATTTCAGAATAAAACACAAATTTAAAGAGGCTTGAAGGTCCAGGAGTAGAAGGTAGGATAATTCTGTGGAAGCCCTTGTCCTTGGAACTGGCTGTTTTGATGACCGTGGCAGAGTTCTGGTCTTGCACTGTCCCTCATGGTGTGCAGTGGAAGATTACTTTTTGTTCAGCCTCGACAGTTCATTATTGATTGCCTTACTGAAGAGAGATACAGTTTAATATTGCTGGTGTCCATGTAATTTTTAAGCAATATCTAGAAGCTATATGGCTAGCTGTGTTGTCATGCTAGTTTCTACTTTGCAACTCTGTGGTTTGCAGCATAGGTGTCTTGTCCATAGCTGCATAATTATTTCTTCTTTCCTAGAAAAACTCCATGCTTTATGGGGATTATAGAATCATAGAATCATATGGGGTTGGAAGGGACCTCTGGAGATCATCAAGTCCAACCCCCCACCCCCAGAGAGGGTCTAGCTTGAGCACGTTGCACAGGAACTTGTCCAGGCGGGTTTTGAATGTCTCCAGAGAAGGAGACTCCACCACCTCTCTGGGCAGCCTGTTCCAGTGCTTTACTACTCCCACAGTAAAGAAGTTTCTCCTCATGTTTAGGTGGAACTTCTTATACTCAAGTTTGTGCCCTTTTCCTCTTGTCCTGTCACTGGGCACCACTGAGAAAAGACCAGCCCCGTCCTCCTGACATCCTCCCTTTAAGTATTTGTAAGCATTAATTAGATGTCCCCTAACCCTTCTCTTCTCAAGACTAAAAAGACCCAAGTCCCTCAGCCTCTTCTCATAGGAGAGGTGCTCCAGGATCCTAATCATCTTTGTGGCCCTTTGCTGTACCCTCTCCAGCAGTTCCCTGTCCTTCTTGAATTGGGAGCCCAGAACTGGGCACAGCACTCCAGACAGGGCCTCACCAGGGCAGAGTAGAGGGGCAGGATGACCTCCCTCGACCTGCTGGCCACACTCTTCTTGATGCACCCCAGGATGCCATTGGCCTTCTTGGCCACAAGGGCACATTGCTGGCTCATGGTCATCCTGTTGTCCACCAGGACTCCCAGGTCTTTTTCCTCAGAGCTGCTCTCCAGCAAGTCAGCCCCCAACCTCTACTGGTGCAGGGGGTTATTTCTCCTCAGGTGCAGCACCCTGTACTTGCCCTTGAAGTATTTTAAGTGAAAGACCATGGCTACAAACAGCTACATGCAACTTCATTAAAGCTAGTTAAATTGCAGATTAAATTGTGAAAGCCCAATAATTGGACTGATAACTCATTCAAATATTTTCATTTACTCAATGACCTGTGGGACAGGAAAGTTTGCTATACTTCGATTTTGAACTATAGTCATTTGCTACTGTGCCATATTATTGATTAAGCATGAAGACCTAGCTTCATCCTATCAGCCTTCAGCCTCTGATTGACAGCTTGGTAGGGAGTTTATCTCAGTTATCATCTGAATTAGTTTCCAGCAATTCTTATATCTCCATGTTGACAACACATGTAACCTGAGATCCTTCATTCATGCACTCCTATGTTTGAGAGGTGGATAATGCCTCTTTTCTCTTTATTGCATTTGTGTTTTGTTCTTAAACAAAACACATGACTCCATGAGCTAAGGCTCCATTATTATCATGTAACACTACAATGCTGAGTTTTGGAGACACTGGTGGGGACCCCAAAACCAAGAATTTCCCAATGACAGAACTCTGTGATTGCAAGAGGTTGAACCCACAACCTGTGTGTTGTGATACTTATTAATGCTAGAGCAACCAGGAGAATTAAAACATCTCCAAATAGGACTCACATCAAGCAAAAGCTTGATGGGAAGCTGGCAAAAATATCCAAGTGAAAATTCTTCTCAGCAAGGTACAATTTAATACATCTTTCACTTCTCTAGGACCCAGGAAGCTGTATCAGATTGCAGTTTGCAGCCAAAACCCACTCCTGGGGTTTTGGAAATTGGTAACTGGTATATATTTTATTTTTCAAATGTTGCTTTGACAGGAGAAAACCACTTTTTACATAAGACTACAGGTTAAATCTGGGCACTGACCTTGGAAGAGAAATCCTGAAAACAAGTTCTTGTTTGCAAGTCATGTCTGGTTTTGCAATTTATTCATTCACTTCCTAATACAAAATGTCCTGGGATCAAAACCCAAAAAGTCATTCTTGCAGGGAAGATGTAAATGATTCATGTCAGCCAGATGAAGATTTGGATTCCTTCAGATTGGATACACATAGGCAGGTAGCCTAGGGGAGTAGCCCTCACCATAGAGCTTCTCTTACAAAATGTGTTGTACTGCCTTTCCCTCCAGCAATGGATTTGAATAAAGTCTGTGGATGACTTTTTTTTTTTGAGTCGGTGCTGTTAGCACATTAGTCATTTTTTGAGAGTTCTTACTGGGTTGAGTTTTAGGTATACAGATCTAGATTTGCCCTAAGTACATGCAGAGACAGCATTTTAGGTGTCATGGCTCCTTTACTGGAGAAAATATAGGTGCCTGCAGCTTTTCAGCCGGCTGAGATGGTGTCTGAGGCAAGGCTTTAGATGTCACTCTTAACTTAGAAACATTCAGTTTCCACCTGAGCCCCAGGGAAGGTGCCCATTTCTGAGTAATTCTTTCCTCAGAGGAACTGGTGACTGCAGTTCAGCATAGTCGTCATCAGGTGCCTAATTTTCATTCATGAATACTCCCCACATCAGTGGAACTATTAGCCTGCTTTAAAGTAACATATATTTAAGTGACCTTTTGGCTGAGAGTTTATCCCAGGCAGAATTGCATCCTAATATACTGGATCAAAACAAACCCTGTCCAAAGCTGTTACACCACCCAGACATCGGGGTAGCTGCAGTACTTTTAGGCAGAATACAGCATTCAGGCTTGGCCTTCCTCATAGGCCGAAAAGAATTAGTAGATTATTTCTATGCTTTTCATAACTAAGAAATAGTAATGATGCCAGTTTGTCCAGTCTATCTGTCTGCATCTAGGAGTAGCCACATAATTGTGTTGACATTATCCATTTTTGGTTTTGACTTGGTAAAGTAAGTATCTACCACTTCTGTGCATTGTCAGAAAACTACTGTAAGTGCCAAAGAAATGGGAGAGGAAAGAGCCAAGTTTGATTCAGAGGAGCGATAGGATTTGAAGGAATCTTGTTTCAGTATCCTAATGGATATTGTTTGGGAAAACACACAAATAGAGTTTGCAGGCAGCCAAGCATCTCTAGTACGGAGGAGCATGGAATGACAAACGACTTTTTGTTTATAGCAAAAAAAAAAAAAAGTGAATATTGGCTAAGAAGTAGTGTTTATGCTAATTGAGCTTTACAAGGAAGTAAAACTTGGTGGGGAACACAGGGGGTAGCGTTTGCAGTGAAGCAGGTAATAAGGAGAGCTGTGTAGGCATTTCCTGATTAGCATCTGCTGTTTCAACAGCCGAGGAACATGACTTGCATGTAAAATGCCTGTGCTAGGCTTTAAGAGGCATTCCCTCTAGCATGCCACCCTGCCTCCTGGTTTTATTTTGAGTCTCCTTGAGCCCTACTGTGATTTGAAATCAGTGGAGGAGAAAGGAGAGTAACACAAACAACAGATGTCTTAAAGTCTTGGAACAGAGAGAGAAAAAGGCCCCGCTGCAAAGGAGAAGGTGCAGTTAAGGTGTTGCCTGTCATTAGCTTTTGGTGCCTCTAGTACAGACTGTATTTGCATTTCTGCATGTGTATATAACAAATACAGCTGTGCACATAGGTGGTAAAGAAGTGGTAGTGCAAAAAGATGGCCATTGCACACGTCAGAGAATATTTTTTTTCCATGCTGTAAATGAGTGTGACCTACAGACACTCAGTGTGCTTGCTCTCACAGACAAAGCAACCTGGTTTAAGGCAGGTTCACAAATTATTTCCCAGCTTCTGCAGTAGCTGCTTTTTGTCTGCTGCTGGATAAAATACACCAAATCATTTTATTTGAGGTTAAAAGTTGCTCCCTAATTGAGAAAGCAAGTAGTATGCCTGGTATCCGTCAGGCAGCTTCGCTTACAGGTAGTAACGTAAGCCATGGCAACACAAACACTGTGTACCCCATAACATTAGGTAAACTGAACAACTGCTTTCTCATCAATGCTATTTTATCATAGACTTTCTTATTCTTTACAAGAATATCCTTGTAAAGAAAAATCAGCACAATAATAACTATTCCTGTGTTTTAAATCGTGGTTTTATACCTGTGTTGCTTCCTCTGTAATTTGAAAATACACTTCTCCTGTTGCCCAGATGGGAAAACAGAGGCATCCACGGGAGGTGAAATAACTTCACCTGGAAATCATCTAGAGGAAGACAGATCTCCTGGTCTCCAAGCAGAACCTTATTATAAGTCATATATTGAACTTATCAAGAAGTATTTGTAAGTTAACAAAACAGAAGCCACACTTTAGAGATAATCATTTAACATTTACTTTTCCTCCTACAGGAACTTTTTACACCGGAGTGCAAATTCAAGGAGTCTGTTTTTGAAAATTATTATGTAATCTACTCATCCATGCTCTACAGACAACAGGAGTCTGGAAGGGCCTGGTTCTTGGGGCTGAACAAAGAAGGGCAGGTCATGAAAGGAAACAGAGTGAAGAAAACAAAACCAGCAGCTCATTTTCTACCCAAGCCATTGGAAGGTAAGACTCAGTCTGTCGCTGGAAGATCCTCCTATAAATCTGGTAGGAAGAAGAGGGAATAGTTTCTAAAATACACTTTGTGAATGTAAGTAAGTGCCCCGCACAGGGGCCATTTCAAATGACAGTCCTCAGGATTCATGGAGCGGTTTTGTGCTTCAGCATAGTGATGCTAGAAAGGGCATTTGTAAACACATTTTTTCTGGGGATTAAGAGGTCGTTTTGCAAGAAAAGAAATCTTTTGTGGAAATGCATTTTGTTGTTTTTAAAATATTCTCTTGGTAGGGACAAAAGCTGTTGCGAGTCTTGCAGTGAGAAAATGGTCCTTTCATTAAGCAGAATGAAATAATGGATATTGTAGGATAATTGGGAGTTATAAAGGGAATGGATGAAATGTCAGAATTGCAAAGTAAAAACTTTCTAGTACAAAACACAAAAAAGGTCTTTTTATAAAATAAATCATACTGTACTACTTGGTCAGTTGATGTAATGCACATAACTTGTGTAAATTGGCCTTTAAACCCAGATAGAAGCGAATAAAAGTCATACTAACCTTATACACTAAGATGACATCACACTTTCTCTGAAAAATCATAGAATAGTTCGAAGGGACCTTTAAAGGTCATCTAGTCCAACCTCCCCTGCAAAACAGGGACATCTTCAATTAAAGCAGTTGCTCAGAGCCCCATCCAACCTGACCTTGAATCTTTCCAGGGGTGGAGTATCTGCCACCTCTCTGGGCAACCTATTCCAGTGTTTCACCACTCTCAGCATAAAAAATGTCTTCCTTCTACCTAGTCTAAATCTTACTTCTTTTAGTTTAAAACCATTACCCTTTGGCCTATCGCAACAACCCCTGCTAAAAAGTTTGTTTCCATCTTTTTTGTAAGCCCCCTTTAATTACTGAAAGGCTATAATGAGTCTCCCTGGAGCTTTCTCTTCTCCAGGCTGAACAATCCCAACTGTCTCAGCATGTCCTCTTAGTGAATGAAATAAATCATTCATTTATTTAAGTCTTGGAACTTTTGGGTTATCTATAGTCTTTTATAAACCTATGCCTCTTTTTGCTTCTTGTCCTAATGACAGTCCAAATGTCATTGATATTATTGCTATACATTGCCTCAGTTATTCTGAAAAGTATCTCATTACTTAACATCTGAAAACATATACCTGAGTAATGCTTTAGTTAGCAATCCTATTTCTTTTAACATTTTAACGTAAAATTTTTGATTAAAGAATCCGTTTGTTAAATGTTTGAGAGCTTCATCATAAGGAGAGAATCTGAATAATCCTATGGTTTAACTTCATATTTGAACTCAGGTCAATGCCTTTGTGTTTCCCACGTCTTGCAAAAGCTTATGGTATTTTCAGGAGTGTCAATCCCTTTATGTTAATTTATAAGAATTGTAGGGAGGGAAAGCCAGCAGCATCAATTCATATAGATCAGGAAATAAGTGACTTTTATATTAATATTTGGATGGTCAGACTCCATCAAAATAGCCTAGACAAAGCTTAGAAATAACTATGGAGTCATCAAATATGACAACTCTGCTATATCCTTACTTTACAGTTCTATCTCATGTTATTCAACTTTTAATGTTTTTGTATGTCTCAGTGTTACTTCATCAAGCTCCTTTAATTAATCAGCAAAGTGTCCTAAACACAGTTATGGGGGGCTCACTCTGAAGACATAGATCATAACCAACCTTATGTACTCTAGAGAAGATGTTTAATTTCAGACTTTCAGAAGCCATAAAAAGGATTTAGATTATGTCATTGGAAATGTTAGAACAAGTATTTGATTAGTTAATGACGCTATGGGGCCCTTCATATTTATTATGAAACCTCACACCATTGAAGATCAAGGTCAGTACTTTGATGCTGCTGCCTCCTACTCTAATTAGCCAAGGGATGAAGGGATTGTGCTCTCTATGGCAGCACACAGCCAGTCCCGAAATCATCGTGTGATGATTAATTCCTTTGACTGCTTTGACATCTCTTTTAACGTTGCTCTGATATAAATAAATGCTGCTGAAGTTAGGTATAAGTGGAAATATTACCTGATTCAGTGACATGGAAAATGAAATTGAATTATCCAAGAGCATTAATCATTAAGGCAGCTTAATGCTGGAACTGTGTAATTGAAGACATGTATTTTCCTCAAAGGATTTAAACTGGTTAGATAGGGACTAAAGCCCAGGGCCAAACTTTTAATTCCTCTAAGAATTCAGTTAATAGTTTAATTTGTAGTTTTCTGCACTTCTACATTCAGTGGAGATCAGTGGCTACTGCATAGGTTTTTGGAAAGGAGGAATCAAAAAAACCCAAACCTCTTGTGTACTACCTGCAGCACTGTCCTGGAGATTTCTTCAGTACGCATCTGAAGATATCATGGCCAAGCTCCTCAGATTTGGGAGAGGGATGTACAAATAACTTCGTAGAACTGGCCCCAAGCCTAGTCTTGCAACATAGGACTAAAAAAAACCCACTTAAGTCTAGACAACCGGATTCTATAATCCCATTTGTTAAAAACCATCTGTTTTATCGCATTTTATTTTACTTGTAAAAATGTGCAGAAAACTTCTTTAAGAGGGGTACGTATATACATATGTGTGCATATATATGTATATTTTTGTGTGTCTGCCTCATGCAAAAATAGAACAGTAGTTTTCCATTTCCAAGGCTTCTCTAGTTCCCATTAAACAAGCAAACATACAGTTTTCTACTGTGTTTTTAAGTCAGATACGGAAGAAGTAAGCAATTTGGAGAGTCCATGAAAGCTGTAAGTCATGCAAAACAAGTCTCTGTCAAAGTAAATAGTTTCACAGAATCACAGAATCACAGAACCACAGAATCACAGAATCTTAGTGGTTGGAAGGGACCTCTGAGATCATGGAGTCCAACCCCAAAAAAACCAAAAAAAACCCCCACCAAACAAATACAAAACACACCACACCAAACGCCCACCAAAAACCCCGCACCCACCAACTAAACCCCACACTCAACACCTCCCCATAAACCAATAACCTTGGGCACTAGAGCATGCCCTGAAGAGCCATGTCTATACGTTTCTTAAATCCCTCCAGGGATGGTGACTCCACCACCTCCCTGGGCAGGCTGTTCCAGTGCCTGACCACTCTCTCAGTAAAGTAGTTCTTTCTAATATCTAATCTAAATCTCCCTTGCTGCAACTTCAGACCATTTCCTCTGGTCTTGTCGTTCGTCCTTTGGGAGAAGAGGCCAACACCTGCCTCTCTACAACCTCCTTTCAGGTAGTTGTAGAGGGCAATGAGGTCTCCCCTCAGCCTCCTCTTCTCCAAATTTCCTTTTCTGCTCACATGCAGTGAAGGATTATATTACATGGATGATATTACAGTACCATTATTTAGAAAATTGGTCCTATTTGAGATGAGCTCTTAAAAGAGATGCATCCTTTAAAACGTCTCTCCTTTTCTCTTTTCTCCCTGCAGTTGCCATGTACCGAGAACCATCTTTGCATGATATTGGAGAAACAGTGCCAAAGGCTGGGGTAACTCCAAGTAAAAGCACAAGTGCATCTGCAATAATGAATGGCGGCAAACCAGTCACCAAGAGTAAGACGACATAGCCAGATCCTCACAGGTGTTGTGACTGACTGAGCCCCGAGTACGGTTGAGCGGTTTATCCTTGCCAGACTTCCCCTCTGCAGTGTCCGTGGATCAGCTCGCGGCACGTCGCCGACGCGCCCGCCGCTGTCTTCTGAACTGAGTTGTCGCAAGCGGATAAAGCTCAACGTGTAGCTCTACCCACAACAAGAAGACACCTGGATGAACCAGCTAAACTCAGACCATGGAATGCCCTACCAGATATTGGAATGCCTTTTTAATATCTTTTCTGTGACTGTGACACTTCATGTGAATGACATACTTCACAAGTACACTTGATACCTTGCCTGCTGACAATTGCCCATAATCCCTTTTTGAGTCCAGTTTCAGCAAAATCCATGTGTTTAAGTTCTATTTTGTAGCACACAGATAATCAAGTAATTTCTAGTTAGATGCTGTAAACCTGTGCTATTTATGGATTTCTCTTCTTCCCTTTTTTATAAGGCTGCTCGCTCCACTGTCTGTGACCTTTTGCAGGGATTGTGTTTCTCTATAACTTAATTGTTGCCGGTGGCTTAGTTTTGAAAGCAATCAGGGAATCAGGAAGCCTTCAAAAATCTATTATTACAAATTATATCTATAAAGAATAGGATTGTTGTCTCTGGCTTACAATATTGATTAAATGTGAATACTCTTTAGTAACAGATACTGTGCTTCTGAGGTTGGCGTTATAGTGGAGGGAAGAGTGTCAAACACAGCCAACGGGAAGTTTTCTGAAACGAGTGTTTGGCATCCCCCTACAGTTTCTTTTTGTGTGTGTGTTTTATACATATCACAGGCTTACTGGTAATGGTAACATTTGCCTTGCCCAGCGAGCAAGACCCACTCATTTTTGGGAAAGTGGGTCCAAAGAATTTTGTAGGCCTTGTAGGCCTGAATTAAGGCTCATTTTTCATCTACTAAATCTTCATTGTTTGAAAAACAACCACCACCAATAACAGAAAAAAAATAAATAAGACTAACCAGAATTGCGCTACCTAAATCCATTTCAAATATAATCCTTTCCTGTTTTTAAGGAACTGAACTTAATGCCATTGTTATTTTTGGCTGAATCCCACACCTACTTAGCAAAGCATGGGCAAGGATGTTGTTGTGTTCTTTTTTGCAGCACCAATGCAAAGGGTAGTTACAAATTATAGTTTAATATTTCTGGTGTTTTAAAAAAAAAAAAAAAAGTTTTAAAACTGGACATATTACAAAACTTTATTTTTATTTTTAGCTAAGCATGCAAAGTCCGGTCCTGTGTATTTCACTGATATCCCAGTACGTACCTCCACCCAGCTTCCTAGGATAATATGCCCACCAAATTGCTAGATTGAAGGTGCCTTGCCTTGATCTCTGTATACTGTACTTTCTCCTACATGAACCTACAAGAAATCATAAACATCATAAAATTGAAGCCTTGGATCATATTACCAGAAACACCATCAACACTTTGAGTTTGTCACTTGTGAACAATTAAACCAATGTGGGAGGAGGGAAGGGGGGGAAGATATAGAGAATGCCACAGAGATGCCACTGAAGTGTTGCACACTTAGTCACAGGCTTTCAGAAGGCTAAAAATATGGGTACTCTCTGTATGCTGAAGAAGGTATTTGTTTCTCAGAAAGGGTAACAAGGACCAAAGTGTACCTCAGGCTGGAAAACTGTGTGGCAACGCTCTCTTGGCCTCTTGATGTTACCTTGATATTTATAGACAAAAAAAAAAAAAAAAAAAAAGAAAAGGGGAAATCATCCAGGCCTTTTTTAGCTTTGTTATTTCTGGCAATTTGTTTTATCACGTCTTTGTGCTGAATTCCTTAACAGAGACCACTGGTTATTTCAATCTCCCTGTCTGCTCAGCTGAACAACTGATTCAGTCTGAAGCAACTCTTCATGCTAGTTTTCCAATGTGTTCTGTTTTTATAAGCAACATTTAGTGCACTCTTCAAGGAAGCTACTGTAAAGCTGCTAAATTTTACATAAACTTTTTTTTTTTTTTTCTGTAGGCCAGACTTCCTTGTTTATATATGTAACACGGGAACAGCAAGCTAACACAATGTTGGGTCTTTCTAGGGAGGGAATGAGTAAAGCATGAAGCCCACTATCCATGCAGAGAAAAAAAAAAAACAACAAACCTACTCTAATACTGTGATAAAAATGCAAAGAAACATTGACTTAGACTGTGTCCTTGCCTGCTAGCACTAAATATGTGTGTGGGAAAAGCAACACTTTATTAAAAAACTTTGGTGTCCCCTTCTCATCCCATCTGGTCCAGTGGGATGTGTGCACCATCCCTGAGAAAACAAAACCAAACCAAAGCAACTCTCGTGGTGAGCTGGGAGCTTGCTCTGCATCTGGAGGACCCATGGGAGGCAGCAGCCTTGACGTTGTACTGTCTGCTGGGTCCCAGAGGAGGCCCCAGGCTTTCCTACAACTAGACGAGGAGCACTTCACGACATTTTGAGTAAGATGAAGGCTACATTCTCTTTCTCTCTCAGCTAATGTATTTCATTAGAGATCATGAGGAGGGAAGACGTGTTCATGTTCCATCCAGCTGTCTTTTTACTCTCGCAGTGTAAGAGCCTGGGGAGAGACAGGGCTGGAGACCTGGCTGAGCCACGCAAGGAGGTTCAGGTTCATGGCCTGATGCTACAATTATTGTTTTCAACATTAAACTTTTGATCCTGGGTAATTATGATCTGAAAAATAGTTTGGGGGGCTATAATTCAGGCCAGATTAAATTTTTGTAACCAGTTAGTATACGCTGGAAAAACAGCATTTCTTTTTATTATTTTCTGATTTCGTTTCTGTGGGCTAAATCCATATATGTGTTTAATCCAATTAATAGATGTCCTAAAAAATATTTTTTCTACTATATGTTTAAACACAGCAAAGGGGTCTTTGTGCTTTGTTTCCTCCCTTTAATTTTGTCTCTTGTCTCATCTGTTGCATGGGAAAAGGATGGCAAGGATGAACTGCATGTAGTAGGTTGTGTCTATCAAAGAATTGTTGGTCTGTATTACTAAATTTACATACATATATGCAAAGAGTTTGTCTGCATTGTACAGTTTGTGTTTATTCTTATTTGTTGTATACACAGATTCAACACGATGAATAAAACATTTATATGAAGGCATACCACAAGACAACAAAAAAGTTTATGTAAGAAGTAGACTGTGCAAAAACATCATTGCACTGGCCACAGGATGGTGAAACTTCATGTAAATAGGTTGGCAAACTCAGTTCTCCCCTTTTACCATGCCAAAGAAAATTTTAGCTCCTTAATATAATACCTCTCTTGCTGTTCTCCAGGATGAGACTTCACCATTTTCTTCCCTCTAAGATTAATTTTGCTGTTGAGTGAAAGCTGTTTTCAACTGTCTGTTACTACTAAAGTACTGTATAGTAAACCTGATGGAATCAATTTGTATTTACAGATTGGGGGTTTTGTACTTACACGTCCAGCTGTCTGTGAATCTACAGCGTTCCAGGTCTTTTGCATGCTTGCTTTGTATTTTGTTCTTCTTCTGGGTTTTATCTAATCTCTGAGAGACTGTTTGCACAGCAATCCAACTTCATCTTACCATTTCGTATGTTAACACTGCACATAGTCATTAGCTCTTTCCTTTTTTTTTTTTTTTTAATCTGTATTTTAGCTACAGTTCTATCTGGCGAAATCAGTCACACCTGCACAGTTTTAGAAATCCAGTTTTAAGTAGATATGAACCACTTCAACAAAGCACCATTTTGTTGTACTTCAGAAATTTTATAAATACACAAGAATCCTTATGAGATTGCTCACACGGTAGAGCCTATAGAAAGGTGTCTGTAGCTTTTAAGTGCTTTGTAGTTGACATAACACAGCTTTTGCTTAATTTGCTGAGGTTTTAGCCACTCTCAAATACTTTTTCAATATGCTATAATTTTCATAAACTTTAACTTGTGTAGAGTCAGATTGGTTCTTAACAAGAACACTCCCCCCAAATACAGAGTAAAGTAATTCACTTTAACTATGGTTTATATCTGAAAAACACTAAGAACTCTGACTTTTTAATATATATTGGGAAACTTTTTCTCTTGGTTTAAATCCACTGTAAACAATGAGGTATGAAAGCAGGCAGTTTGGTCCATACATTAAAAGTGTGTCTTGCTGATCCATCTGTTTATTGGTATAAAGAAGAAATTATTCAGCTCGATTCAAATGGGAATGCAAGTAAAATTAGACTAAGTAAGGAGATTATCTTTCTTTTAAATGCCTCCTTAGATAAACTCATATTCTTCGCAATGCATTTTAAAGTGTCTAATAACAGGGGTTTTTTTGTGGTGACTAATGCAAATGCTATGACTTATTTTTAAAGATGTAATAAAATTTCTGTTCTATTATCTAGTCACAGAAATATTCAACTTAGCTTTCTTCATCCCAGTATCATTTAGCTACAAAGTGAGATGTCATTCTGTAAAGAACTGAGGGCAGAGCATCAGAAATATGTCAGAGCAGGTACATAACTAAACATTCGTCAATGTGTTTCTTAAAGAGAGTATGTCCAAGGAAAGAAGGGTCACAAGTTAACAATTTATACAAACAAATCAATCCACAGCTGTTTTACAGGTGATATTACAGATATGTTATATACATTAGGCATAATCCCTCAAGCCTATTGTGGAAGCATTTGGCCCACTTCTGCATTGTGTTCTTTCTCTCATAAGAGGAAAGCAAGGCTGTAGTATCTTTTGTTTATAAGGTTTATCAATCCAGCTGGTATGAAATGCCTGTTTATCCAATTTGGTTTTACCACCTGTGTCGTGGTGTGGGCTGGATACACCGAGAACTGCCTTTTGCCACAGGCCAGGCAGAAAGTTTTTACTGTCCCTGGGTATGGAGGAACCAAGCATTAAGTTTCACTCCCTCACACCTCTTCCTGCTTTTACACTTTATGTAGCTGGAATTCCCATCACAGGGTATGAGGTGTAAAATCACTACTGATTAATACAGCTATTTTTTTTTTTGCAAATGTGGAATAATAATCTTATCCCTTCCGATCACATTTTTCTAGTGAGGAAATGAGCCACAAAACAGATCTGCTGGGAGTGACATCACCAGTTACCTCAGCATGAAGAGCGGGGGGAATGTTTAAGCAACATTATAAGAAATAGAGTGAAAGTAAGAAAGGAATTTATGTATCCATTATATTTTAGTAGTCTTAGTTAATACTTTAAGGTTTGTAGCAATAGCACCATTTTGTTTAATAATTTACATTTTAATAAACCACTGACAGTAGCTGTCTTAGAATATTCTAGTATTTTTCCACATGTATCTTAACAAACAACTTGGATAACACTTTTTGAAATGTTATGGATATGTGATCCATCCAGTAGCCAAAATATTGTAGATTGTTTTTTTAAAAAGTTCTAAATAGAAATCAGAATAATCTTACACTTTTAAAGTATATAAACTTAAAATGAAAGCAAATTACAAAGTAAAATTCATTCAATATGACATTGCCACCCTCTAAAAAATTGTTCTTTTGTCTATGAATAAGAATACCTGAAATACCGTGGCTGATCTACAGCATATATAAATCTGCTTATCATGCCATGAAACAAGACAAAAACATCTACTGAACCTAGATATGAGTTTTGATTATCTAGTATTTTCTCATTACAGTACTAAATACAAATGGAAGGAAATCAAGGAAAATTTTGTATCTTTCATTGTTTGCACTCTGATTCAGCAGACAAATGTATCTGCAAAAAACATTGATTATAAGATGATCCAGGTCAGCGGAATTCATAAATATAAATAAAACCAAGAATCTGTGCTCTCCAGGCACCAGGGCTGACAAAATGCCTATATTTTTAAATTTAATAAAATATTAATGTTAAGTTCTATGGAGTTTAAGGGTTATACTATAATTTCAAGATGAATTTTACGTAGAAGATTCTTTATACTGTATCAATACATTTTAGAACTCTGCCTGGTATTTTGGTTATATGAAAACAGAGCAGCTAGCAGCTTTGGGATGTATGTCTCATTATTTATCTGCATACCTTCTATATAAGTTATGCATGGATGTTTGGTGATTATACTCCCTGAGAACACGGGTTTCACAAGCTTCATTTTTAGAAAGAAAGAATCCATGTTAAGGAAAAACAAATGGGTAAGAGAAAGAGCAAGCTACGTGGGAAGGGGGATAATAAAAGTGATAAAATAAATTCATTCAAACTTTTTGCATTCTATTACATGTTCTGTACCATTGTATTTTCCTATTTCAAGGCTGTCCTTTGGAAAAGAAAACTAATTTCTAGACTAATAATGGAAATACCTTTTTTCCTTGATATATAGTTCCCTTATTTCTGAATCATGTACCTCTTTAAATATCAGAACCTTGGCACCTAAACCTCAAAGTTCCAGTTTGGTATTAAAAAGAAATATTTTCCAGCCATCTAAGCAATTTCTCGCTCAATCATGGTTTCACAAAATGTAAACACTTTTGAAACTAAAATGTATGTATCTTTTTTTGCTCTAAAGAATTCAAGGGCTGCCAAATCTACATGTACAAAAAAATAAGAGATTCATATGTAAATAAGTTAGGGAAGTCCCAATAGTTGTGCATCGTTCATAACTCAATGTGAATTTCACACTGAGCAGCATTTCACCATTGGAAAATAAAATTTTTGTTCATACCACTGCTTTGTTTGTATTTACTGCATTAAAACTTTAATTACTTTGCTGCCATTGTCTGAACATCTTTGGCTGAGACCAGGTTACTGCATAGCATAGCTGATTTTTCAAGTCAGTTGACCTTCAGGCTCCCCACTTCTATAAAAGCAGTTAAATTCAATGAATACCATGTGTGACAGTGCAATCTGTTCCAAACAGTGATTTCTAATAGCACACAGAATTGTCATCCTAAAAGTTATTAGTATAACACATTTTCATTTGCTTTACTTTTAAGAGGACTAGGCAACTGTACGTACATAGAATAGTATGATAAAAGTACATATGAATTGCAGGATACATACTCAGAATAGACAATTATACATTTATATCTTTATTAGTTTCATTCCTTATACTCCTATAGGTTATGCATTTGAAAATATTGCAGTATGTAGAACAGATAACCAACTCACTGACAAATTAACCACAGAAAACAAGAAGTTCTGTTGTGGACAAGGGTTTGTTCAAATGTTTTAGGTCTTCAGTCTATGGTTGTCAGGTTATTGGACCTCAGTTATATAAATACAATTCTTTGACCAGATAAAATATGACTAATGTTTGATAAGCTTCTTTACAGCTTCTCTCAGTTTATGAGCTGATGTGTAATCAGTATTCTTAGAAAGAAAAAAGGGCCAAACAATGTATTTATCAAATACCATAAAAATAATCAAATTAATATTTTGACAAATATGCAACTAGTGCTACTCTTCTACAGGAATATTGTTGCGTACTGATAGGGAGAGGTGACAACCAAGGAAATAATGTTAATTAAAAAAAAAAAAAAAGGCTTTCTTACACCTTTTCCAGAGGTTGCTTAAGAAAGAGGCATTATGAATGTAATCTCAGTCCCACTGAATTTACCAAAAAACTCCGGAGAAGTTCCACAGGGCCAGTATTTATGACTTCACCTTTTAGAGCTTGGACTCTCCTGCTCCCAAGGCATTTTTCATTTTTTTTCTTTCAGTTTTCTCATGCATTTCTTTAAGGAGCAGGCCCTTAAATGAGTGTTCTAAAGGATTTACACCCATGTACGTGTGTGTGCATTCACACCCACACACTGACTACTTCTGAAATTAATGTTCTAGCAGCCTAAAGAAAAACAAACAAAAAACCTCCTCATTCTCTGACGTCCTTTGTTAAGGGTATTCTCTCCCCAGCCAGATTTCACAAGCATTTCCATTCCATCCTTCCCAGCACTCGCAGTTTCCACAGTTACAAACACCATTGCCTAGAACGAAATGAATAAAGGGCAATTAACATAATTGAAATGTACTACATTAAAAAGTGTTCTATGGGAAGGAAAAAGCCATGCTAAAGTAGCTGCATTGTTCCTTTATTGTTCCCCCCACCCATTTTTTTTTTTTCCTTTGGAAGGAAGCAATTACTGTACCATTGCATTAAGAAGCCACCCCAAACCTACACTTTACAAAGGATTAATAGCATTCTCTCAATAATTCCATCAGCAGAATTGCAAATATTGTAATTATGCCACCACTATTTGTACCCAACTGTTGAGGCTCAGTGTTCACACTGTACCTCCAGGTAGAAGGAAAAACAAGATTATTTTTAACTATTATGCAAAAAGAAAAAGGTACTAAAAGTTACAAGCTAAATAGCAATAAAAAACTTCACTTTGAACATGAAAAACTTTAAACCCAAATTCTCAGAAGCACTATGCAAATAAATAATGTCTCAAACTCTCTATGAGATGGCTAAAGTACTGAGATCCACATTTTCATATTATTTCAATATTTTTCATGACACCAGGATGCTCAGCTTGAGACCTCTACAGCCTGGGTTTCAAGTTTGAGCTCCTCTTCCTACTGACTTTATGCAGAGCCATGAATAGCCGCCGCAGCTGAAGAAAAGGCTCCTGTTGCCTCTATACTGGCTTCTTGCCCCCACAAAAGGACCCTTGCTAATAGGGCTTGCTGGAAGACACAATTTACTAGCGTCAGCCCTCCCACTCTCACTCTAATCGGCTTGCAGGTTTCCTCCACGTCTAATAATTGCTCAGCAAAGATTTTCTAAAATTAAGATTTGTAACAGGAAGCAGCCAGTGAGTTAATTTAGCGATTCCCGTGTTGCTTCTTGTCACTAGATTTGTCATGAGGGTTTGTTGGCAGCCGGCCCACTTCTACCCACATCTGCCGCCTGAACTCCCAGACAATGTTAAGGTGAAGCCGCTTTAATCACCAGCCATCACGTCACAAGAAAAACTGTCCGGCATTTCAGCCTCCCACTGAGAATTGTCTGATTGCCAGGAAGCTCTGTTCACCCACACAGCTATGCCTCTCACCTACCAAAGATCATCAGACAAGTGAATTTTGTCTACATCTTAGATGCGTGACGGACATAGAAAGTCCAGTAAGAGAACAAAAGATAAAGAAATATCATAATCACAATGCTGACACTGCACATCCTTTGCCAAAAAGCAGCATCTTGTAGTCTGTTGCAGTGAAAATTGTTGAAGGATTTCGTGGCTGGCTCACTTATTTAAATTCATACTCAGGCTTTCGACTGTTGTTTTGAAACCTTAAGTTGATTATCACGCTGCACGAAGAAACAATTATAGCAGGTTTGAATAACCAGCAAATGCACTTCCTCCATCACGGGAGAAAGAAGAAGCTGGGCTTTGTCTGACACAATTTCCATCAACACAGTTTGTTTCTTAGAGCAATTAAGTGTTAGCCTTAGTACTGCACCTGTGCAGATGAGACCATCATGTTTGTCACAGTCTCTGTCATCACATTCACAAAAATCGCCCGAAATGTACCATTCCTGTGGTGAACAGATGCACTTTCCACAGTGGCAGGAACCTGAAATCACAAAAATTATTACTCGCAGTCAAAGAGCACTGGCATTTTCAGACTAGAAAATAACATCCCCAGACACACACATGTGCACACACACACACACACACACGTGTGCATAGGCACAAAATTGCTGCCTAAAAGGCTATTGCACAAAAGAAAATAAGCAAAAATCTTTTTGAATAAAGGGATTCTTTTGGGGTGAGCTAAGAGTATGTGGGACGTTACTACTAATGCTTCGATTCTGCTATTTCACTTAATCAAGACTCACAATTTGAAGCTTTCCTTTGGTTTCAGAGACCTACAATCAAGGCTACTCTTCCCAAAAACTGTTCCTTTTTTTATCTAGAAAAGCTTAAATTGTCCCTGACCCACTGTTACTGAATGCAATAAAATTGTGCACAGGAAGAAAATGTCCCTCCTCATCTGAAGTCTTTAGGGAAGAGTCCTCAAAAGACCAAAGGCGCCTAAGACTATTTAAGATCCCCCAAGGTCCCAGTCACCACAGATGAAGCTCCTTCATCTCCCATGGAATTACTAAATGTTCACTGTAGGGCTGGATGGGTTTGTACACATAATGGGGGTTCAAGCAGTTTGCTTATTCCTGCAGAGTACCCCGATGCCCCTCGTTGGGATAAGCAGCTCTCCTCCTCCTCAAGGATGTCAGGTCACACCCCCACAGACAAAGGAGGGACTTCATGGTGATTTGGGTGATGCAAATGTCCAATGTACCCACCGATCACCAGAAATGTCCCTTTAAGGGAAGACTTGGAGACATCCCTACCTTCAGGAGAAGGCTCATGACTCTGAATCCTGTAAAAAGACCGTTTCCCCCAGGGCAATCATGTGTCAGGAAGCTTGTAGCCCGAGAAGGGTGTGAAAGAGGCTTTTCTGCAACTGGAGATGCCACTGGGAGATGGTACGTCCTCTTGGCTGACTCCAGCACCCATCTGAAGACACTTGGCTCTCACAGAGCCCATCCTCAGCTGCCTGACCCCTCACAGAGTTCAGGCACTTAAATGCCAAGGTGGAGCACTTAGTAACTGCTAAGCAAAAATCCCTTTGTGGACCTAGCCCTAAGAACTTGTTACAGCACCAGTCAATATGAAAAGCTCAAAAAACAAATAAAAGATGCCGAAGAATACACACATAACTGTCAATTATGGGAGATGGAGTTAAAAAAAAAAGTCACCAAAGCTGTTGACTTTTAACAGAACATACTTATAAATGAGTTAGATGCTGTTGCTCTTGCAATATTTCCAGAATTACTCCAGTACAAAGTCACCTATTTGTTTAATGCAATATTAAAAAAAAAATATATAGAACGAAGTTTGGTTATGTCAGAATATAACCTAAACAGAATTAATCGTTTGGCCTGAGTCAACTTTTTATACACTTCGGCCTGAACCAAAGTGTATGAAATGAGGTTTTTCCATCTTTCCACTCTTTTCAGTGACCTCTGAATAAAACCCATAGAAAAATTCAAATACACATTTTTTTTTAAATGTGGATCTGTCGATATCGACCAATTTTCCCTAGGTTTTCCCCATAAATACTGAAGTGTCTCTGATCACCAGAACTTAATTCTTCAAAACTTTCGAACAGCCTCAGCAGAGTAACTAATTTTTATTAAAAATGTAAGTAATTTAGTGTTTACTGTACATAACAAAAATTAACTCATTGCCTAATTTTAAAGAAGTGCTGGTTTAACTTGTAACATATGGAACATATAAATATATGCAGGAAGAGATAGTGATTGGAACATTTGGGGATGGGAGTATTTGGTTAAGCATCTACTTTTTCTGTGAGTCCTGAGTATTGCTTACTGAGCCACAGGCACGGAAAATACTGACATTCCCTACAAGGATAAAAAATGCCATTGTATAAAGAGGCAGTGGAGGAGAGCATACATATTGCATGGTTGCCGTGTAAGAGATACACTAAGACATACTTGAGGGTAATTTAAAACAAATGTCTCTCTTTATACAAACTATAAGGCACTGACCGCTGAAAATAATGATGAATAGTATGAGACTTTTAGTAAAATTAAAGCAGTTAATAAGAGCATGACATTGTGAGAAGCCTGAAGTGATTCTGCATAAGCAAGCGCTGATGCTGCTACTGAGGGATACCCACAATTTTAAAAACTATTT